AGAAAATTGCTTAATGGCAATGGGGAGGGATTAGGTTTCTACCCCACCACCCTTTCCTGCCTGACCTCGATTAAGCAAAATTAATCCTTAAAAACTTGTGTGGGTGGGGGGAGTGGGGGAAATTGCCAGCCCCATCAGCAGAGGGAACATGGCAGAATTTGTACTGATCTCGGGTTCGCGAGTCCTTGGTGCTCTCTGAGCTTAGTTGGGTGTGGGGTTTTTTTTGGTAGACTGTTCGTTGCCCAACTAGGGAATGTCATCAATGCTAGAAGTGAGTTGGGTTTGTGGAGAGGAAGAGGAGGAGGAGGAGGACTGTGGAGTCCTTAGTGCTCTCTAATCTTGGTTGTTTTCTTGCAGACATTTCATGACCCAACTAAGTAGTATCGTCAGTGCTACAAGGGAGTGAGGTGGAGAGGAGCGGGAGGAGGAGAGAAGCTGAGTTTGATAGTTTTCTTGCAGACGTTTTGTTACCAAACTAGGGAACATCATCAGTGCTGGAACATTTAGAGTGGGCATTCCCTACTTTCTTCTAGAACTGATGATGTTCCTTGACTGGGTAATGAAATGTCTGCGAGTAAACAAGCAAACTCTAAGTACCAAGGAGCCTACAATCATTCTCCTCCTCTTCCTCCTCCTCCTCCTCCTCCTCCTCCTCCTCCTCCTCCTCCTCAAATCCCACTCCCTCCTAGCCCTGATGAGGTTTCCTAGTTGGGTCACAAAATGTCTGCAGGAAAACAGCCAAGCTCAGAGAGCATCCAGGACTCCTCATTTCAAATCTGAGCTACAGATATTCTCTTGGATTGATACCAGGCCAAACAATCCGGCACAAAATGGCACCCTGATCAAGGAATTATCAAAGGAAAGAACTCTCCTCCTCCAAAATGGCAGAGCGAGCTACTGTATCTAAAGCAAAGCCCACCCTCCCTTGCACTGATGATGCTACCTAGTTGGGTCATGAAATGTCTTGCAAGGAAACCATCAAATACAGAGATAGTAAAGAAAAAAACCCACATTTAATCATACGTTTATTAACAGCAGCTAGAATTGTATTTGCTCAAAATTGGAAAAATGCAAAGATTCCGATAGGTGATTAGGAAAATATACTGGAATGTGCAGAAATGAATAGATTAACATTGGCAATTAAAGAACAAGAAGAAGTGGAGTATTGTATGATAGGGGATTGATTTTATAAATGGTTGGAAAATAAAGTAAGAAGTTAAATGAATATCGTCAGAATGGTAAGATATGTAAGGTTGAGCAGTTTTTAACACGGATGTAATCCTAGTAAGAAATGTACACTAAACATAAATATTTGCACAAGATATATGCACCCAGTTGACACACTATATAACTGAAAGATGGATTTGTTGTAAAATAAAATAAAAAACATTAAAAAACGACACAGAGAGCACCATGGATTCCACTCCACGTTCAATCCTGAATTGCAGATATTATCTTTTGTCAGATAATAAGGTTTGCCCATGGCAAAAGGTTTAATTTCCATTTCTATTCATACCCAAAGGATTCATCATATTCTCTGCTGTTCTTTTTGGGAGAAATCAGATGTACATGGCCGTGTGTGTGTGTGTGTGTGTGTGTGTGTGTGTGTGCGTTTGTTTGTGTGTAGGTGTTAAAAGAAAAACTAAGTGTGATTAAAGCTGCATGAAATCATTAGGGCTACTTCATTCATCTCTCCTATTATTGATGTAATCTGTTTCTCCTTCTGGCATGTTACAAATTACAGTTTGATGACAACTTTTACGGGGCTTGGAACCTTGATAAAAGTTTCCCTGGCCAACTTTGGATTCTCGCTTGTGCCTTGGGCGAGTGCAACGTTCAAGCTTGAAATTGTGGTTAATCTTAAATGGAGGTGGCCAATCTTGAATTTCCAGATGTATAGTAAGAAAAAGAGGGTGTTTGTAGCTGTGGGGTGAACTCTGAGGTCCTTGGTGCCCTCTGAGCTTGGTTGCTTTCTTGCAGATGTTTCCTGACCCAACTAGGTAATCTCATCAGTGCCTTTAGATTAGATTAACGAATTTGGAAGGGACCTTGTAGGTCATCTAGTCCAACCCCCCGCCCAAGCTGGAGTCCCTATACCATTTTTGACAAATGGCAGCCCAATTTCTTCTTGAAAACCTCCAGTGATGAAGTTCTCCCAACTTCTGAAGGCAACTTCTGTTCCATCGGTTGATTGTTCATATCAGAAAATTCCTCCTTATTTCCAGGTTGAATCTCTCCTCGATCAGTTTCCATCCATTATTCCTTGTCTGGCCTTCAAAGGTGCTTTGGAGAATAGCTTGACCCCTTCCTCTGTGTGGCAGCCCCTCAAATCTTGGAAGGCTGCTCTCCTGTCTCCCCTGGTCCTTCTCTTCCCTGGACTAGCCAGGCCCTGTTCCTGCAACCGTTCATTGTATGTTTTAGTCTCTAGGTCTTTAATCCTCTTAGTTGCTCTTCTCTGCCCTCTTTCCAGAGTCTCAACCTCTTTTTTTATAGCGTGGTGACCAAAACTGGATGCAGTACGCTAGGTGTGGTCCTACTAAGACTTTACAGAGTGCTATTAGGGACCTCACTTGATCTTGAAGGAAATGTGGTTTTTCTTTCTCTCTTCACATATAAGTGGTTTGGATAGAAGTGTGTCTTTGTTGCTCAGGGTTGAAGTCTGGGGTCCTTGGTGCTCTCTGAGCTGGCTTGTTTTCTGGAGGATGTTTCATTAGATAAGATCATCAGTGCTAGAAGAGTGTGGAGCCCGCAGAGCGTACGAGGAGAAGTAGATCAGTGGGATCCGTTTACATTCTTCAAGCCCTCAAAAGTCGTACGGAGAATCGGTCGCAGGAATTAGTTAGGTCTTAATTTAAGGAAAGGAAGGACATCGGGGTATATGACAGTAGTCTTCCCATTTTTGAGGGGCTGCTACAAAGAAGAGAGGGGTCAAGCTACTCTCCAAAGCACCAGGAGCCAGAACGAGGAGCGATGGATGGAAATGAATCAAGGAGCGAAACAACCTAGAAGTAAGGAGGGATTTCCCAACAGTGAGAACAATTAGCAGAATGGTTTTCCTCCAGTGGTGCTCCACCACTGGAGGTTCTAAGGAGAGATTTGTCTAAAATAGTATATGGTTTCCTGCCTGAGCAGCGGGTTGGACTAGAGGACCTTCAAGGTCCCTTCCAACGCTTCCTCTGTGAAAGAAGAGGGTGGGGTCAACTTATTCTCCCAAGCACCTAAAGGCAGAAGAAGGAGCAATGGTTGGAAGTTACTCGAGGAGAGAAGCACCCGGAATTTCCTGACAGCGAGGACCATTAACTAGTGGAACAGCCTGCTTCCAAAAAGTTGTGGCTGGAGGTTTTTACAAAAGAGCTTGGATAGCCATTTGTCTGAAATAATATAAGGTCTCCTGCCCGAGCAAAAGGGTTGGACTAGAAGACCTCTGAAGTCCCTTCCAACTCTGTTATGCTGTTAAAAGAGTTTGGAAAGCCGTTGGAGTGGGATTGTATAGGGCCTCTTGGCTTGGGTTAGGGGGTTGGACTAGAAGACCTCCAGGATGACCTGGAGGATGACCCTGGGCATGGTGGCATATCCCCAAGAGAGGTTGCGTTTGTCAGTGGCTGTCAGAAAATGCTTTCAGCACCGGGGGGGTGTAAACGTATGTTTATTTAAGGCCTTAGCTTTTCAGGTGAAGTCTTTCTGATAATGCCTTGCAGTCTTTAATCCTATTGTTACTGGGGGCTGGTGTGTGACGTTGTTTTCGTTGCGTTGTGCTCTTGTGGTATGTTCCTCCGAAATCCATCAACGGGCAGAGCAAATTTGGCACAAGGGAAGGATCAGGCTGTGGTTAAAAGTCTTATGACTGTGAACTTTGGAAATACTTTACTTTACTTTATTGTCACTGAACCCTGTACAACGAAATCAAACACTAGCTTCGGTGCACATCATGACCATGAAAATACCGTATTTCCCCATGTATAAGCCACCCCTTTTTTCCAAAATTTTCAAGCCCAAAAAGTAGGGGGGTGGCATATACAAAGCAGGTACACTTTTTATACGTGAAAAATGCATAAAATAATAAAGTAGGAATAAACTGGTTTTCCAGCAGTATGCTATACTTTTTTGTAAAAATTGTACGTGATGATACGATTACGAGTGTGAGTACGCGATAGAAATGCATACGCTAGGCATCGGCCTGAATGCTTCGTTCCTACTCTCGTTCCGATGCGTAGATTGCTAGCGTCGCCCGCACCGCTTTCGGCGTCATGACCGAAGTTGTAGATCTAGACGTCGAATTTTGTTTCTTTGTAAATTTTCTTTCTTCATAACTTGTTTCTCTAATAAAATATTTTTTTCAAAACTTCACAGTCCAAAAATTGGGGGGGTGGCTTATACAAAGGGGGTGCTTATACATGGGGAAATACGGTAAACACAAACACACATCCTTCACACTCCAGATGTTGAACCGAAAACCCCCGACACCGCACCAACACTCCACTATACAGTAGAATTCAATAGAGTTACTGCCCCGGGATAAAAGATGTTTTTCAGCCTATTTGTCCCTGTTTTTATTGTCCAGTGTGCGCATGCGCAGAGCTGTCAGGAGAAGAGAACAGCTAAGGAACAAGGGTCAACTTGGGAGTAAAGCCACAGTAAAGCCATGGACGGTGAATAGTTCCTCCCATAGGGAATAAAAGAGGAGCGAAAGGGGAGTGGCGTTTGCCGGAGACAAGTAGTTCATTTGGGTGAAGGTCTGCTCCTGCATTTTTGCCGAGTATTGTCTGCTACAGTGTGGCGTCCGAAAGATATCGGCCTGGCAGCTCTCCAAGCCTGATCATGGTCTGTAATTGTGAAATCTCTGGAAAGACTGTTGGCCGGGGCTTTGCTGGAGAGGAATTCCCTGTAAACTAAATAAAAAGGTTTTTATCGGGACGAGGAGTCGGCTTCGTGCAATTGGAGAAGCCGAGGTCAGAACAGTGGGATTCTTATCTGCTGACCGTAAAACCTCTCTTCTGCAGATGGCCTTCCGTCCTCCCTTGGACCTCTATGATGTCCTCATCCACCTGAACCCCAAGCAGGTTCCCAGGCACCTGGAGGCCGTGGACCGGCCCACCGCGTCCTTTTACCGGGGGATGTTGAAGAGCAGTAGTAGCGCAAAAACCATTTCTTTCCCAGTGGTGGACTACGACCCCGTGCAGTGCTACCTGGAGGAGCTCCGAGTAAGTATCTATTGTGGTTCTCCGGCAGCTGGTGCAGACGGCAGCGGAATCGGACAGCGGGGGAGAACAGGGACCAGTCCGGGAGTTTGGAGAGGACTCGGACGAGGGTCCTGCGTCCGATACAGAATTGGGGCCAGGACCATCTGGGAGTGGGGTGCTGCCTTTGGAGCCTCCGGAGTCTGGCAGCAGCGAGGCAGAGGACCCAGGGGAGCCTGTTCCCAGTGCGTGTGTGCACAGAGCTGCTAAAAGGCGAGAGCAGCTGGAACAAAAGGGGCGACTCGGGAGTAAGGCTGGGAGCTGATTGCCCCCTCCCAGAAGGGATAAAGGACAGGCAAAGATGACGAAACCTTTGCAGGAAGCAAAGTCATTCGTTCAGTTCAGATTCATTCTTGAAGCTCTTTGTACTTAGGTTGGGTTTTCTTATACTTTGGTTGGTTTCTTTTCTAGTTCATTTGACACCTCTGTTTTTGGCAGCACTTCACAGAATTGAAAAGTGGTTGCTTATCTCGGGGAACTGTTTGAGATTAATTCCGGCTGGGAATGAAAACAATTCCCAGCGTTGTAATAAAATAGGTTTTGTTTTTAAAATAAGTGTGTGCACACCTGGCTGCTCACCTGAGGAAGTGTGGTTGCAATCCTAACATTGTACATGTAGTCCTCAGCTTATGACCGCAGTTGAGCCCCAAATTTCTCTTGCCAAGCGAGACAGTTGTTAAATGAGTGTTTCCCCTCCCGCCTCCCCCGGTTTTAGGCTCAGCGTGCCGCATGGACCTTTCCAATTGTGGTTTATTCAGCCATCTATGATTGCGTTGCTAAGCCATCTGGATAGCGAGATGGGCGGTATATGTTAGGATATGTGCAGAGTAACCCTTGTGTAAAAAGGATATGCACACAGAAAACGGTTTATGAGAACAGTTATGAATAAATATACAGCCACACAGAGTTGGACAAGTTGTATTAATGTTTACTTGAAGAAATAGCACAGTCCAATAAACAGACCATGTCATGCACGTTTTTAACAGTCCAGGAATATCCAGTTATAAAGTCTTCTTACATCTAGTTATAAAGTCTTCTTACCGGTTCCATGTCTTTTATAGCAGGCAAATATCAAACCATAATACAACAAAAAAAAACTTCGATATCAACAGATAAACAGGGTTAGTCAGTATCAGTCCGTAGTCAGTCAGTATCCGTATCAAGAGAGATCATCAGTGAAAAAGAGAAAGAGAATTAAACCATGATCTATAGCTCCCTCTTATGGCAACCTGTAGAATAATTAACCAACCAGAACACAGTATAATATATTACGGTGTTTTTCCTTAAAGCTACAAACATATATATTTGTAATTTATATATTGTCAACCCAACTACGTTATTTACACATACATAACAGTATATGAAGTTAAAATATAATGCAGGTAGGCTTCGACTTACACCAGTTCATTTAGTGACCATTCAAAGTTGGTCAACGGCACTGAAAAAAGTGACTTACGACCATTTTCCACATTGGCAGCTCTTCCAGCATCCCCTTGGTCACGTGATCAAAATCCAGACATTTGGCCCGCGAGCCGTGCCCCCCGATCAGGTGGACGGAGATGCGCACGCGCCTCCCGCCAGCCAGCGGATTGTCGGGTATCTGCCGTGCATGCGCAGGAGGCAGGGCACGTGGGAGGTGTCACCCACACATGTGCAGGGGACGGATGGTTGCGCGCCCATTGAACTATGGGTGCAGGCAAATTTGGCACGCGGCGCCGAAAAGGTTAGCCATTTTGTTTTGCCCTTTTATCTACGTATGAGGATGAAAGTCTGTTTTCTCCGCAGCCTTTTTGCAACCTTGCGAAATAACCAACATTGTCCTCAGAGTGGTTTGTTTGGTTTTTTGGGGTTGTTTTTTTCTTTTTTGGTCTACACCTCATCAGATGACACATTCTTAATCACTCCCATTAAAGCCAACAGCGTGATTCAGAGGCTGTGGAAGCAACCCGGTGCAGAAGGTTTGGAAGCAACAGAGAGGAAAGCCGTCCGCGAGAAACTCTTTCCTCCCGAGAAGGGAAGAGATCAGGATTGAACCTGTTTTATCTCGTTCTTGCAGAATTGTGCGTCTTTTGTAAGACAGATGCCATAACCCCTTTCTGCATGTCACCGGCTTCTCCGTGGCGGGGCCTTGATCAACCCCTTGTTGCCTGGGTTTGTGATGACAATATGAGTCAGTGTGTGTGTGTGTGTGGGTGTGCGGTCTGGATTGAGCAACTTACAACTCGCTCAAATAACATTGTGACACCAAAGGCTCTTTCTTGTGTTGGAGTCTCTGAAAACAAAAACGTAGATGATTTCTTCTTTTTTTTTAAAAAAAAATGCCAATCATTTTTGACGGGCCGGTAGATTGAGGCACACGCTTGTTTTTCTCATTTAGGAGTCCCAATATTTATATTTATTCTATATTTTGTTATTTTTATGAATAACTCAAAGGCAGCAAACATCCTTGAAGTTTCCTCCCCAGTTTTCCCTGCAAAAACCAACCCTGTGAGGTGGGTTGAGTCACCCACTCAACTCCCCCCCCCCTTTTAGGCACGAAATCCAACTGGGCGATTTTGGGCCACTCACTAGGAGACGGTGAGTTCTAGTTCTGCCTTGGTCATGAAAGCTAACTGGGTGACTTTGGCCAATCACTAGGAGATGGTGAGTTCTAGTTCTGCCTTAGCCATGAAAGTCAGTGGGTGACTTTGAGTCAATCACTAGGAGACTGTGAGTTCTAGTCCCACTTTAGCCATGAAAGCCAGCTGGGTGACTTTGAGCCAATCACCAGGAGGCGGTGAGTTCTAGTCCTCTCTTTAGGCATGAAAGTCAGCTGGATGACTTTGAGCCAATCACTAGGAGACCGTGAGTTCTAGTCCCACTTTAGCCAGGAAAGCCAGGTGGGTGACTTT